TGTCACTGGCTGTCCTTAGCATTCGGTTTTGAAACCTTGAGGCATTTTGAGGGGTAGACTCTAGTTTGCTTACACAGGCCGTCTGGGCATTAGAGCCCCCTCAGGCTAGTGGTTCTTGTTAAATTGACTGAACACCAGGGCGCCTGGGTGGCTCAGTGGGTTAAAGCCTCTGCCTTCGACTCAGGTCATGATCCCAGGATCCTGGGATCAAGCCCCGCATCTGGCTCACTGCTTGGTGGGGGAGCCTGCTTCCTCCTCTCTCTCTCTCTCTGCCTGCCTCTCTGCCTACTTGTGATCTCTGTCTGTCAAATAAATAAATAGAATCCTAAAAAAAAAAATAATTGACTGAAGGCCAATAATGTGTTTGAAATCATGTAGTTAAATTCCAGGTTAAAAGCGAGTTCTATACGGTTCTAAATCCTGTGCTACTTGTAATAAATATGCTGTCTCCTGCCTGCTGGGATGGCATCATTCCAGCAAGATGAGATGCAGACCTGTCTGTAAGTTCCTAGGGATGTTAGGTAAAATAAAATCAGAATTCTTTAAACGGCCCCACTAATCTCAAATACAGGGAAATACCCAGGTATCAGAATTAAAGACGGCATTTTAAAGCAGTGACGAGCACTGGAGCAGAAGCTTGAGCATACTGGGGGGTGGGGGCTGGGCTACTCAGACGCTGGGTATGTAACCTCCTGGAAAGGACAGGAGACGAGATTTGGGGTTTAGCATGAGGGGAAGTTAGAACAGTGAAAGGGTGACCCTAGAAAAAAATCTGCCCAATAAAACAGACAACAAAGGATGAATGGCCCCGAATGATCAGCCAAGGTGCCCCTGACAAATGAAAACCAGGGGCTCTGCCTCACACAGCTCTGGGTCTAGGAACCACTGACTTGAAAGTTACACCAAAAACTTGTACAGGGCTGACAGATTCCTAGTGTTAGTGTTGCCAGATCCAGCAAATAAAAATACAGGACATGAATGTATATGTCCCAAATACTGTATAGAACACACTTAAACTAAAAAAATTATATGTTGTTTCTCTGAAATTCAAGTTTAACTGGATATCCGGTATTTTGTCTGGCAACCCTACCTGATGTACGTGACAGATACAAACGCCAAAACCACTCAGGAAGGCCATTATCATGAGGTTTTTCACAAGGAGGGAAAAGCCCTGCTAAGTAGAAGGGCTCATGATTAAACATCGGAAACCATCTAAAGACACAAACCATCTTGAACAAGAGTCAGGAGAAACAACACACAGGACAGAGCCTCAAGAACTCTGGCCATTCATTCACTGAGCAAATATTTATGGAGCAGTGCTCAAGGTGCTGGGGATCTGCAGGGAACAAAACACACAAAGCTCTTTTCCCTCACGGGATGGGGTCTAGCAGGAGAGCCAGAAACATCAGTACAGGCGCCGTGTCAGATGGTGATCAGCGTTATGAAGAAAAGCAAAGCAGGAAAGGAGAGAGAAAATGTGTCAAGAAGAATGCTGGTTTTCAGACAGGGAAAGGAAGGAAGACCTCCTAGAGATTCTGAGTGTAGTCTCAAAGGAAGTGAGAGCATGAGCTGTACAGATATCTGGGGCAAGAACTTTCCAGGAAGAAAGATCAGTGAGCCCAAAGGTTTCAGGATGGGTGTATCCCCAGCAGGTTCAAGGGACAGCGCAGAGGCTCGTGTGGCTGGATTCGGGTGAACAAAGGTCTGAGGGGTGACATAGTGATGGAGGGCACAAATCACGCATTTGCCCAGTCCGGTACAGGAGCCAGCAGCCACAGGTGGCTGGTTACTTTTAAATAAGTGACCTTCAGTAAAATAAAAAAGAATTCCTCAGTCCAGCCACATTCCAGTGCTCAACAGCCACATATAATTAATGAGTACCACGCTGAGCAACTCAGAGAATGTCTCTCTTGTTGCAAAAGTTCGACTGAACAGCGCAGCCAAAGCCTTATAAATCACTGCATCGCGGCTCCTACTCTAAGTGAGATGAACAGAACAATCAGAAAGAGAATATAAAATGAATATGTTTTGGGCGCCTGCGTGGCTCAGGTTATGATGCTGGGGTCCTGGGATTAAGCCCTGCATTGGACTCCCTGCTCAGTGGGGAGCCTGCTTCTCCTTCTCCCTCTGTCTGCTGCTCCCCCTGCTTGTGCTCTCTGTCAAATGAATAAATAAAATCTTTAAGAAAATTAAAAAAAAAAGAATATGTTTCAAATGATTAAAAGAAGGCATCAAAGCCCTAGAAGATACCAAGACAGTGTAAAAAAGGGCAGATCTGAAAAAGAAACCACAGACGCAGACATTTTTTTAAAAACAAATTAGAACCTTAGTGGCTCAATTAAGCAGATGAGATAGAAGACGGAATTAGTAAACTGGGGTATTTCGTGTGGGCCAGGCAATGCTCAAGAAGCTTCACTCATCTTCACACCAGGCGTAGGCAGGTGGATGGTATTGTTTCTCCCCACAGAACAAGCAAGGAAACAGGTGCAGAGAGGTGACGCCTTCTCCCCCAGGCAATCTCAAGTCTGTGTACCCAACCACTGTGCCATATTGTCTCTCGGGAGAGACACTCAGGAGAGAACTCAGCACAGGAAGATAAAGAGACGATAAGGAAGAGGGACCAAGAGACGGGGATGGAAATGGAATGAGGTCCAAAGAACATCCACTAGGAATTCCAGGAGGAAGTAACAAAACAGCAGAGGCAAGTAGTTAGTGCAAAATAGGATGGCTGAGAATTGTTATGGTGGAGAGAGGGGAATCCTAGGATTCAAGATGCAGGAGTCCCAAGTAACATGAATACAAATAAATTCACAGAATTCATAGTCCAACACAGTAGTGAAACAGCAGCACACCAAAGGCAGAGCAGACATCTTTCAAAGCCTCTAGGTGAATTTATTCCTAGAAGAGGGAGAGCTGGGAGAAAGACCCGTGGTGGGAGAGGAGACATCTGGGCGGTGCATACAGTGGTGGGACTGGCTGCAGGGAGAGCACAGGGGAGAGGCTGGGCAGGGCTGGGCTGCACTGTTTGGGGTGAGGACCACTAGCGTGACTGTACTCAGCCCTAGCCTCTATTCGAAGACTCAGCTGTTCCAAGATCCCAACGAGCTTAGGCATGCTCTCTCAAGTAAGTACAGCGTGCACGTTGCTCTCAGAACTTGAGCAACTATTTGGTGTACGAATGAAAGAGAGGCATTTTGAAAAATGAAAGAAGATGGGGTCGGAGGGAGACAAACCGTAAGAGACTCTTAGTCTCACAAAACAAATAGGGTTGGAGCGGGGGTGGGTAGGGAGAAGGCGGTTGGGTTATGGACATTGGGGAAGGTATGTGCTATGGTGAGTGCTGTGGAGTGTGCAAACCTAGCGATTCACAGACCTGTACCCCTGGGGCTAATAATACATTATATGTTAATAAAAAATAAAAAATTTTAAAAAATGAAAAAGAAATAGTAAAAAGAGAGAGAGAGAGAGGCATTTTGAGAAAAGTGAGACCAACCTGGTACTTGCACTGGGACCACTGAGCTGATGTATTTCTAAAAGGCCACGCAGGAAATATTTTTGGAAGGCTATTATTCATGGTGACTCTAGTTGTGTCCATAACTGTGATTTCATTTTCTGCTAAGATTCGAAAGCCAGCGTAATAAACAGATCGCATCCTTCCTAGAGGTTTTCTAGGCTGATTAGAAATATTAATGAAACTTTAAATAGGAACAAAACCCAGTGCCATTTCAGCAGCTTCTGTGGTCAGTGTAGTTTTGTTTGTCAGGAAAGATATGTCGCAGTCACAACTGTAAGAAGTGACAGAATGCCATCTTGGCCTCCCAATGGGATTTGATAACAGAAGACACCAGACAGTTAGAATGATCTCATTCTCACCTTATCACAGTTGCTGATGTTGCAAAACACTGAAAAGGACATAGCATTTTCCACTCTTATCCTCTACTTTAGGCTAGGCAGTGTAGGGTTTTACCAGACCTTTCCACTCAACCACCCCATCTGCACAGCAAGTCCACCTGGGGAAGTGCTGTTACAAAACCAAGTCCTATTCTCTCTCTGTCATGATTAGATCATGAGTATGGGCAAGAAATGTGGATGAAAATAACTTTAATTCACTGTAAACAAGTCTATTCCTGTGGACTAATATTTTAATGTTAGAAGGCTACATGCAGCCCACTGAGGGCCTGGATTAGACAAACAGCTAATTATAGAACAAAAACTTTGATAAATGTTGTTCCAACTAATTCTTACTTGTAAGGCTTGAAGGAAGGCGCATTAACATCATTTTTACACAAGAAGAAACGGAGGCTAAGGGTTAGATATGACAGACCGAATATACAAATGGATAACGCACAGGCCATGCATAGAAACATAACTCTGATTTACACCCCACAGCAGTAAGCGCAGGAAAGCAACCCATTACCCACAGGAGCCAGCCCAGAAGGCGAGCTCCCTAGAAGTCAGGCTTGCCAGTCGGACCAGGAAGCAAAGCAAGAATGTCTGCTATGGTGATTACTAACTGATAGACTCTCTCATTTTCTTAGGCACTTCCAACCTAGGGCCAAGCAGAGAAGGCCAAATACACATCCCTAACCCATTATCTAGTCAATCCATCCCACAGCTTCCCCATGCCAACAGCCTCCAAGCAAGGCACACCTGCAGCCCTCCCTTCTTTTTCCAACATGAAGCTTTCCACCCCTCTGCTGCCCTTCGGCTTCTCTGCCAAAATGCAAGCGACCGTGGCGGACTCCCGTGCTATCGTTAGCTTGAGTAGACTTCACTTGCTTGGCGGGTCTTCGTTTATTTCCAGACTAACTGGCTCCAGATCCCTCAGCTATGGTGCGGCTGATCAGGGTCTGGAACCAAGACCTGCCTAACTCCAAACCCAGCTCTTTCCACTGTAACCACCTGCCCTTTTAGGAAGACTGAGCCTCAGACGCCTTCAACAGCTTGGCTAGCAGACACCAGTGAGAGGCAGGGGCACTGCGATTTGGCATAGTTTATTATTACAATTAGTATGCATATAAAACCATGTAAACTCCACAAAGTAAACAGTTTATACCCTAAAATAACCAAAAAGTCTGCTGTGAACTTCCAGCACCCTATTTTAAGATTTATAGTTTCACACAAAGTCATAGTTATACAAATAGAATCATGATATATTTTTTAGGTAAAGGATTTTTTTTGGGTCCATATTTTGTTAAACAAACACACATTTACCTCTTTGGCAAAAGAGGGCAAATTCTGCACAGTGAACTCAATGCAAACAGATAAAAAGCACTGAACACGAGGTACAGCTGAGGTCTGGGCTAATCTGGAATCAGAGAGAACGCTGATTTTGTAAGAAACAAAATCAGTTCAGTTCCCCACCATCTCAGTAGAAAAGCTAGATGTGGATTTGGCCGCTGTCCCTTTTGCAAGAACACACCTCAAATAACTTTGTTTCATAGTGACAATGTGTTATTTCTGAAGAAAGTTATGCAAAATGTGGGCGTCTGACCTCAGCAATATTTTTAATCTGAGGTACAAAAGCATCTGTCACAGTAATTCGGCTGTCATCACTGTGCCACCTTCATTCAGTTTGTTGGGAGAGCAGTTTTTGGTGGCCCCTGCGTCTCCGCACTTGGCTTTGCAGACAGTTTGGAAAGGTGGATTTGCATGTGAAAGCCAGACCGCCTGTGTGGGCGGAGGTGAGGAGGAAAGTCAAGTGGGATGAAGGCCCGTACCTCGGAGACCCAGGCCCCTCAGGCAGGGAAGCCGCCGGCGGCCCGCAGGAACCTAACCCAAGTGGCGTCCAAGGTACAGGCAGCTGCTGAGGTGGTTGTGTGCTATTGTGTTTTAATCTACAATCATAATTGCTAACAACCACCCTGGTGTGTTTCTCCTGCTTCAAGTAATTTCATTCCTTCCAAAAGAATGTTAGCAATGCTTTTAGTTCTGGTTATCAAAGGAAAGGAAATGAGCCACAATAACAACAAGATTAAGTTTAAACAGACCTGCTGCGAACACACTATCAGATAAAATAGACTTCGGGCGAACATACTATTACACACGTTTCTGCAACAGCTTCATTCTCCCACTTAGCCTCTGTGCAGAAAAGCTGATCGAGCGAACTTAAGTTACTTTAATTCATGTTAAATACAACTCTGTACAGATTGCACATTTTATACGAAAGCAGCTCAGTGTCACAGAGAAATGAAAATGCCATCTGAAAATTGTCATTTTCCTAGCCCAACAAAACCCAACAGGCTCTTGCCCGAAGGGTCAGAACAAAACCAGATGCACTACTTTGTAAACAGTAGGAAGTGGGCCCTAGGACTCCACCGCAGGATCCTATGAAATCTCAGGCACACCCGCGCGCGCACACACGCACACTTGATCCCCTCTCCCGTCTGCCAGGGCCGCACACAGCCCGCCGCTCTGTACCGCAGCAGGGTGCTGTCACAGTGTGCTCACAGGAGAGCGGTCATGGCCGTGGGGCTCTGGGGTTGGAGGCAGTCTCTGGGGGCCGCGTAGGCGGCGCTGGCGGCGGGCTTCGCCCGCGGCTCCTGGTAGTCCGGAAGGGCGCGCTCCGCCGCCGGGCCGCCGGCGGTGGGCTGATCGTAGCCCGGGCGCTCGGCGGCGGGCGCGGGGCGCGGCGGCGTCTGGTAGGGCGCGCCGCCGGCGGAGGGCGAGGGCGTGAGCGCCAGCGCCGGCCCCGGGCCCGGCACGTGGTAGCCGCCCTGCGCGGAGAAGGTATGCCCCCGCACGGCGGGCCGCTCCACGATGGGCGTGGCGTACTCGGGCTCGGGGTGGGTCAAGGGCAGGGCGTACTCGTGGCGGCCGGCCGACAGGGGGCAGTGGTAGTGGCTGCCGGCCTCGGCGCCCGGCGCGGCCTTGTCTGCCTCGGTGTCCATCGGGCGGAAGGTGGAGCCCTTTCTGGTCACGGTCCCTGTGCCGATCAGGAGCGGCGGCTGATAATCTGCAATTAGAAGCGCAGGAGACACGCCGTGTGTGCGCCGCCTGGACGCCCGGACCAGCCGGTTGTTTGCGGAGGCGGCGCCCTGGGGAACCAGCCTGCCTGAGTGCCTACCACATAGCAGGTAGGATGAGAAAGCCTGAGGTGTAAAAGGCGGAGGTGCCACACACACGGGCTTACACAACCGAACTCGTGCTTTAGGAAGCCTCATCGGGTCGCGGGAACCTGGAAAAGGCAGAGGACGCTTCCCCACACCTGGGGGACGGGAGGGAAATACCTCATGGAGCTCTCAAAATGGCTCTCGGGATGCCAGATTTTGGAGGTGGAGGCAGTAAATACTATGAGGAACGGGACTGGTGATTAAACAACCTATTAAAAAAACCATGGAAAGAGAGTTTGATGTGGTCAGAGTATGAGGGACATGGGGTACTTTAATGGAAAACCAAGACCAAAAGAATAGGTTGCGGACTAATGACGATGGCGATGATACCAATGAAGCTCCCATTTACTGAGTCCTTACTCTGTGCCAGGCACTATTCTAAGATACTAAGGTATCAGTTAATGAAGTCTTCAAAAAAAAAAAATTACAATGAAGTAGTGACTATTACTCCATCTGACAAACGGAAAACAGAAGCAGGCTGAGATGAAGTAACTTCTCCAAGATCACAAAGTTAAGCACCCAGTGGAGCCAGAGGTCGAGCTCAGATCCCAAGTGCACACTGTTAACTGTAGACGCCCACACAGAGAACACTGAGTGCCTTACTAGCAGGTTTGGTTTAGTTCCATAAAAGAAACCTACTGAGGATTCTAAAGAAGAGACTGGCAGAGTTAAAGGTAACCAGGAAGTGGACTAAAGAGGGAAAGATCAAAAAAATGAGAAAAAAAGAAAAAGTGTAAGTCACACGCAAGAGGTCTAGCAGCAGCCTTGGGAAGGCTATCCCTTGGAGACATGACTCAGGCAATATGTATTACCAACAATGTGGGGAGTGAGGAAAGAGGGGAACCAAGGCCCCTTCCCAGATGTTAAGCCCAGACGCCTGAGGTAGACAGTCGGGAAGCCACTCAGAAGAGAATGTATGGAGCAGTCATGGGAAGAGTTAGGAACAATGGGTTCAATTTTGGACCCACTGAGGAACTGGTGACATTCGCAGATAGTTCAGCAGGTGAGATTACTGACTTTTGGGGGACAGGGAGTGAAGTCGGGGCTTAGCAGCTGAGCAGACAAAAATGCAAGGAAGGGCTCTCTATTGGGAGCTCTGGAGCAGGGGGTGCAGTTGTTGAGGAGAGAGACTGTGGCTAAGTGGGGGGGAAGAGCGAGACCCGGGGGCTCTCATAGTCAAGGTGCCCAAGAAGGACCACACAGTGGGGGAGGAGGACAGGCTGCACCAGAAGCTAAAGAACAATGAAAGGAAGAAGACAGACAAGGGGGTCTTCCCTCTCTTGTTTTATCTACAAGGTAGTACTAGAATTGGTGGGGGTCAAGGGGTAAGAAATAAGAAGATGGATTTTAGGTGGAGAGATGCTCTCTTTGCCCTGAAGCAGCTCAAGCAACCTTTCCAGTGGTAGTCTTCTGATTGATACACACATGCACCACCTGGGAACTTCTGGGCCAGTGGGCCCGGGCATGGCCTGAAGGCCCACATTTCTAGCAAGCTCCCTGATGCTGCTGGCCCTCAGAATGTACTTTGGGGAGCGAGAAGCTAAGCAGTGCTCCTAGAGTGCAGTTGGTGATGCCTAAGTATCTGAGAACCGAGACAAGTCTGCAGAAAGAGTACACAAATTGAGAGCAAGTGTTTAGAAACTCACAGCAATTCAAGACTAACTTTACGTCCACTGCTCTAATAAAAGAATTAGAGCTTTGTATTTTGTTATGTCTTTTTAAAAATGTTTTCCCCTAATTTATACAGTTGACCCCAAACAACAGGGGTTTAAACTATGTATGTGCACTTATAGGCGGATATTTTTTTCAATACAGCATAGTACTGGAAATGTGTTTTCCTCTTTTTTATGGTTTTCTTAATATTTTATTTTCTCTAACTTACTTTTTTCTAAGAATATAATATATACGGGCACCTGGATGGCTCTGTCAGTTAAGCGGCTGCCTTTGGCTCGGGTCATGATCCCAGGGTCCTAGGGTTGAGCTCCCCATTGGGCTTCCTGCTCAGTGGGGAGTCAGCTTCTCCCTCTCCTTCTGCCCCTCCCCCTGCTTATGCTCTCTCTCTCTCAAATAAATAAAATCTTTAAAAATATATATATATGATCTAATGCATAAAACATGTTAATTGACTGTTTATGTTATTTCTAAGGATGGATTCAACAGTAGGTTGTTCTTGTCCGCAATAAGCTATGAGTAGTTAAGTTTTGGGGGAGTCAGAAGTTATACATGGATTTTTGACTGAGCAGGGGGCCAGCATCCCTAACCCCCCTTCACCAAAACCTTAGCAACAGATTAATTCAGGGCTTCCAGATTTTCGTGGTACCTTGGGGCCACTGCTATAGGTCTGTTCTAGCCCCTGTCAGTGTACCGGCCTCGTCTGAATGGGCTTATTTCCCTCCTGGTCTCCCTTCTCCCGGAAGCAGCACTTCCCACCCGAGAGCACCGTCCCAGGGGGTTGCCGCTTACCTGCCATATCACTTGTGATGAGATCTAACTTTTGCGTTATTTCCTTTTCATTATCATAGCTTATGGTGAACTCAGTGGACTGATGTCTGGCAAAGGGATATTTGATCTGCTTCCAACAGTCTGGAATAAAGATAACACAAAACAAACCAATATCTCAGAAGCATAATGCACGTTGTCCATGATGTGTTTCTCGATGAGTCGGGGTCAGACCACCTCCTGCCGGCTGACCTTACGTGTAAAGAGAGTGGCCACGGCTCTTCAGATATATGTAGTAGAGACAGCATACTGCAGTCGTTACAACAGTGAACACCATCCCAACCACGCTTTCCACTTGCCTTCACGATGTATTTGTGTACCCCTCGTGTCCCAGATTATCCCTATGTTACACATGGTGGCATGGCTTCCCATCATCTGCACAGATGCGACACTCGTGTCTTGGGAACCAACACTTCTGGCTCTTGAGACTCTGCAGAGGTGGTGTCCCAAAGGGCTCCTAAGATTCAGAGGTGTCCTGCCCTGCTGCTGTCTCTCGACTGTAGATGACTCATTGCATGGGCATCCTGTAGTCCTAAGGATTCTCTGCAACTGAATCTGAACCCTGCCTGGTTCTTCCTTTGCTTTCCCAGGATGGGAAATACCATGGAAGCCTGGAGATGCAGGCCTGACAATGTACTTTGTGAAAATGGGGCTTTTATAACTTCTCCTGGGTGACAGGCAATGGGGTGGCCTAAACTCCAATACCCTCCCTCCAAAAAAAATGAATGTTGATAAATGATGGGATAATGCTGAACAAAAGTAAAAGTAACAGGCCATGAAAACTTCCAGTTGAAATAAAGAGATAGGATACAATATTCCATCCCTTTTAGGCTTGCTAACTTAAAGGCTATAGAGCTTATTTTTTTAACCACGTTAAGTGTGGGCCACAGACCTAATCATGCTTTTAATTTGCAGACCCTGTCCCTTCCCTAAGACAAAATAAAACCGTAGAGTTTTCTGTAAACCAACCTGTTTTCTGGGCCTTAGCTGATCCATATGGATTTCCTTTCTTCTTCTTCCTATAGAGACAAAAGAATCTTACTTGAAAAGCTTCCTAAGTGGTAAGTGTTATTATAGAAGAATACGTGAATTCTTCAGAAGAATAATTTAGTAGAAGAATTCTTATAGAATTTTAGAATTTTAGAAGAAGAATTCTTTAGTAGAAGAATACTTTCTACCCCTACCCAACTTGGTTTTTTTTTTTTTTTCTCCAACTTGTTTTTAAAACATGTATTAACATTTTATCTTGGCCAAAGTAAGGCTGCTTCTCTACACATGAATATCAGAAAAGCAAACAGTTTGGTTTTGTGATTATTTGCATAATTAGAGAAGAAACTTAAAAATGCCAAGGCACATACTTTCTAAAGGCTGTAAAGATTCCTATTCCAAGCAGCAGGGCAAGGAGCACCGGCAGAATTGTAACAGCTGTGATGTTTATTCCTAGGAAGAGGGAAAGCCGCCATATTACAACAGAAATGAGCTACAGCCCAAGTTCACAGTCTAAAACTCAACATTGATTTGAAAGGTCTTCAACGGTTTAATACGGGGAAAATGAATATGTGCTAGGCATTTCCTGATATCAGAAAGCAAACAGAGGATACAAAATTTCTGGCTCAAGTTTAGGAAAATAATTTTTTTTTCCCAAAACAGCAATTTTTGGTGGTCTTCAGGGATTAACATTTACTCTGAACTTGTTGGGACAACATTAGGCTTCACAATCAGAATTGAAGGGGAAGGTTTCACGCTGGCCCACCCTGCTGGTTGGGAGGTAATCAGCTCAAGAAACCAGTTCCCCTAGATGGTGGGAGGCTTTGCACGTGTGCACTAACAGGAGCTGGGGGAAAGGCGGGAAGAGCCCTGGGCTTCCCTTTAGCAGGGCTCTGGAACAGTGGGCTAAGAGGAAATGCAGCCCGATGACCTCAGAGAGCATTTCCACTCTGCTCACGGAATACCACGTCTTTCTACTTTAAAAAAGGAAGTCACTTTAACAGCTACTAAAGCAGGCCCCAAGCTTGTACACACTATGCAAACTAAAGGAGGAATATTTGTTCTTCACCCTTTATCTGTGATCCCTGAGAAGGGATCATCAACAAAGGGATGATCAGGAGTGGAAATGTGTAGTTCATGAAATGGGGGGGGTGGGGGTGGAGGAGGGATATAAGGACCTTCAAAAGGAACAAAAGTCGTAAATAACTGGGTTATTATTTACCAGAGTGGAAATTTGGGAGAAATCTAAGAACTTAAACTTCCAACAATAGGGGAATGGTTAACTAAGTGATGGTATGTCCATAGGAAAAAATACTATAAATGTATTAGCAACTGTGTTTTTTAACTACTTAATAACACTGGCAGATGCTCATGATACAATGTTAGGCAAAAAAATCTATGCTACAGGACAAAATATGTGGTATGCTACCATTTTTTCTCAAAGTTATAGATAAATATGGTTGAGTGGATACAGTGGAATACAGTGATTATCTGTGGATGCTAATTTATGGCTTATTTTTACTCTCATATTTAGATCTCTAATCTTCCTGAATTTTATAAAATTACACAAATCATTTTATATTCTGAAAAAAATAAATGTACTTTTAATGTTTACTACTTGAATAGGTTATATGTTTACATATTCAGACTTCAAAAAGTTTATGGAAGTCTCCCTCCTACTTCTGTTCCTCCTCTACAGGAAGCCAGATTATGTTTCTTGACATTCTTCCAGAGATATTGGAATGATTATCTATATATATATTCGTTCTTTATTCCCTTTTTTAAAAAAAGTTATTTATTTGAGAGAGAGAGAGAGAGCACAAGCAGGCAGAGGGTCAGAGGAAGAGGGAGAAACAGACTCACTGTGGAGCAGGGAGCCCAATGTGGGTGGGGCTGGATCCCAGGACCCTGGGATCATGACCTGAGCTGAAGGCAGACACTTAACAGATGGAGCCACCCAGGCACCCCTCCTCATTTCCTTTTTTGCACACTTGGTAGAGTGCTACATGGATTTTCCTGTCCTTTGCAAATTTCCTTAAGTTTGTCTCTACCCCAGAGCTTCCCCTATTACTAAACATATTTATTTTTCATGGCAGCAGAGTATTCCATTGTATGGAGGTGATAATGATTTTTCCATAAAATCTTTACCCAGTGTTTGAAGGGCAAATACTACTTTTTCTACTTACAGTATTGTACGGAAGAGTTGTGGTTATACATCACTTTACACATACCCAGCTACCTGTGGACCCTCTGACTCCACACATTCATACGACAGAGAAAAAAGTTTTTGTTGAAGCTACTGTAATCATCACATAGAGTCCGGTTATCCTCCTGAGGAAACCACAAAACAGTTAGTGCTCTACCTGTGGGTACTTCTGGAGAGGGGACGGATTTTGTGATCATCTCATCTTCTCTTTCAGTGGCACTGACAGTGTTTGGACTTGCTTTGTGCAACACCAATGAATCATTACCTAAGGCAGAGGAGATGTTGGAAGAACCCCATGAGTAACAACCATCTGTGAGAGGGCACGAGCAGAGCCAAGTAACTCACTGACTTGCCTTGTGTGATCTGGCAGCCAAAGAGCTCCACTTTCAAGGCTATCCTCTGGTGCCACGTCTGGGGGACAACCCGCACGTATCTAGCCACGATGGGAGGGATGAAATTATTCCTCACTGGATCCCGAAAATTAGAGTTGCCCTGAAACACCTGTAGAATCAAATAACTTTGACCTGAAGAGGCTGGTAGTTAGCTCCTCTGTCTTTCCCACCTGACTCCTAGCTGGTTGTAGGACACCAAAGCCAGGAACCCAGGTCTGCTGTAGTTCTGCAGACACACTTGGTAGTGAAGCTATAAGGCTTTGCCAACAAAGGCTGAGTTACCTAACTAAGGTAGTGCTACAGATCTGTTTTCTGGAAACACACATAAAACATTTGGCGACCTGCTCTCCCACTCAGTTCTTTCCTCCAGTTTCTCTTACCTTTTCTTTATTATTCGCAATTCCTTTATAGGTCCTCCACTTGGAATTGTTGTTTTTGAACTTCATCACGAAACTCTTAACGTAAAAGTTGAAATTTGACTGTGTGGATCCTGTGGTCATAATTCCTTGTAAGAAAATATTACTGATAGGTTAGATTTTACAATATATATAGCATGTAGTACAATTCCAGGTTTCTTTTCTCTTTCTTTCTTTCTTTTTTTTTCTTGTTTCCTCCTTGAAATCTTAAATCATTTTACAGACCAATTATTCTTATTTGCATTTTGAAACCTGACCACAACATGCCATGAAAAGGTTTCATCTAGGGGCACCTGGGTGGCTCAGTCAGTTAAGCATCTGCCTTTGGCTCAGGTCATGACCCCTGGATCCTGGGATCAAGCCCTGCATTAGGGAGCTTGCTTCTCCCTCTCCCTCTGCTGCTCCCCCTGCTTGTGCTCTCTCTGTCAAATGAATAAATAAAATCTTAAAAAAAAAAAAAGTTTAATCTAATCCATATATCCACACTTAAAATCTGCACACAGGCTCTTCCCATCAAGACAATGTGAAGGCCTGTTACTTTTAGAAAAGACACAGAATACTTTGATGTAACTAAAGAGGTACCTATGTAGCTCAGAAATATAATTTCAACTGCCCGTTATTTTGCATTTGTGAAACTGTACCTGTTATTTTCTTTTTCTCTCCCAAATCAGTCTCTAGCCACTCGCGCTGTTTGCGGTTCTTGCCACTGTCCCTTGAAGCCCATGACAGGTCTTGGCCCTGAACTTGGGCATGGCCAGGAGACCAGTGAACCTCTTCTCCCATCTCACTGACCCACTGCCAAGAAGCTCTGATCTGTGTTTCAGGTTCCAAACTCAATGATCTGCTGCAACCTAAAAAAAAAAAAAGCCAAGAAAGTATTTCAGATATAAACACACACACACACACACACACAAAAGTACTCCAACTCATCTAGAATCATTTAGTTGATTTATTTCCATTCTGGTATCAAATCAACTGTTTAATTATGAGTTTTTAATAACCTATACTTTTCATCTGACTCATTTGTACTATGGTCCCTTCCACTTGCTACTTTTCTTTTTAATGGATCTCACTGAAGTCACATCTGAAGTCACATCCCCTATAAATGACATCTCTTTGTTCCCACTATAGATTTTCCTTTTGAGATCTCTAAATTCACTCTCATTTCAGCAAAGTACAATGTGTCTTAAAGGTTTAAAATACCGAAGTTTCTTCTCATTTGATTAGAGGGGACTTTATTGTCTGTGTCCTTGAAGAGAAAGGACATCCGGGTGCTCTGAAGATCAGTAAATTGTACTCAACATTGTCCTTAGGACCTTACTTTTACCATGTCCAAGACAATGCGGAGGTTAGCAAATAAAGGCTACACTCCTCTCCTGGACAAAGAAGATATACTCATATTGTTCTCCTGGAAACATTTTACTTTATGTTGAGAGAATATTTCCACAGAATGTATTTTGTGACAGAGGGGCTAAAAAGCCTTTATTTTGCACACTCATGTTCAATCACTTTATTCAAGATAAACATAAATCAAACTGTAATATTTAAAAACTTTTCCTGGGGTGCCTGGATGGCTCAGTGGGTTAAAGCCTCTGCCTTCGGCTCGGGTCATGATCCCAGGGTCCTGGGATAGAGCCCTACATTGGGCTCTCTGCTCAGCGGGGAGCCTGCTTCCCCCTCTCTCTGCCTGCCTCTCTGCCTACTTGTAATCTCCGTCTGACAAATAAATAAATAAAGTCTTTTAAAAAAATAAATAAAAGCTTTTCCTGTTAAAATCTAATAGAAAGGCATTTATCTTAACATAAATGGCATTTTGAATTTTTACTTTTTTGGCATAAAGTTTGACAGAGCTTAGATTATAAAGAAAAATATGTTCTACTTCATGCTAATTGAGTTACTGTCTCGGTGTTTTGTGTTTTTTTTTCTTTTTAAAGATTTTATTTATTTATTTGACAGACAGAGATCACAAGGAGGCAGAGAGGCAGGCAGAGAGAGAGAGAGGGAGAAGCAGGCTCCCCGCTGAGCAGAGAGCCTGATTCGGGGCTCGATCCCAGGACCCTGGGATCATGACCTGAGCTGAAGGCAGAGGCTTTAACCCACTGAGCCACCCAGGTGCCCCTGTCTTGGTGTTTTTAAGTTACAGCATACTTGGTGCTGTGTGACCTGTGGGGGGAAGAAGAAATAAAATCCTTTAAACTATATCATCGGAGGGGCCTGGGAGGAAACACTACCACTGAAGACTTTAAAATATCAAATTCTTAAGAGAAACAGGATCCTTACCATTGGAGGTAAAGAGAAATCGCTTGTCAGACAGGGAACCACTGCAACAATAAACACAAACAGGAGGAGGTGAGTTGCTCACCTGGATCGCAATGACGGACACAGCACCACAGCCCAGGCACCACAGAACCTTCCCGCACCTCATGGGATCCTCGCCTCACCCTGGCAAGGCTCTTAGCTTCTTTGTCACTGGCCTTCTAGAGAGAAACTCAGCACCATTGAAGGGAAGCAATGTTCCTCAAGCCACCCATGTGGCAAGTGGCCAGGACTGTGAGTCACTGCTGTAGGTTCAACATCTTGCGTGGTTTCCATCATTGCCACATTGTGTGGGGAAGGGAAGTGCACACATACAGTCTCGGGAACAACCTTAAGACCCAGTTAATTAATCCCTGGCATTGGAGGCAGAAAGAATGACAGCCCTGAATGCTCCCATTTGCTTCAGTAGTCGCCCTGATGCACCCCGGCCGCAGTCTATCGTCAAGGACCACGGAGAGAAATGAAGAAGACGGGCCACTTTTTGAAGAATGACCATGTCATTTGTAGGCTGCCTTCTCCACAAACTTTGCTCCTTCCCCGAGGGGTCCTGCCCCAGCAGTGCCACTCTGGGGCAGTCTCAGCTCCGTCTCCCTCCAGTCACGCTGCTCCCTACTGTGGCAAGCGACACACAGCCGTGAGCCATCCCAATACTGGATGACAGGTGCGGCGGGAGAAAACTCACAGCATCTCATGGACCTGGCCTGAGCTGGGCCTCGCCGCTGGGGTACAGTCCCATGGCTGAGCTGGCATTAATCCCTGGGCCTGTGGACTCAGATTTCTACAGAGTGTGGTACTTTCACAGGCAAACATCCTATCGGCCTTGTTCTGCCGCTGTCTCCTTTTGTGGGGAAGAGATTCCTAAGGCCCAAGACCATATCTACCTTTTTGTAAATCCCTTACCAACTCAACAGCATAAAAATACGTAGAAAATCCAGAGTTCTCAAGATGAATCTTGCGTGCATAGTACTCACTATATTGATACTAGAGAAAGCCCAAGAGGTAGATGTCACTGCTGTGCTCAATTACTTTACAATCTGAGAGTACTTCTTGTTCTTTAAATGTTTAACTCTGAATTATATCCGGCAACCATGGACAGAAAGAGTCCTTAACGTTGAAATCCTTGGAGAACCGAGAAAGCGTCTGGACAAGAGTCTAAGAACCTTCCCATCAAAGCTCTTGTGGCTGTTGTCGTTTCAAAGTACCACGCAATCTAACTCCCTGGAATGGACGTTTTCATCCATCTTCCTTGTCCACTCTCCAGTGGAGACTCCACAGCCCTACCATTCTGAATAAGGTTCTTTTATAACCTCTGCACTGACTAAAGCGCAGCCACCCATCACTTCTCCCGGGAAAAGGCAGACCCATGGGGGGCCCAGCACTTGCCACAATTCACGATAGCACCAAAGCTGGGGAGAAGATCCAGCTCTCCTAAGTTTTAAAGAAAGGTTCACCTTATTCACATTCGAAGTTTCATTAATTTATTTAGAGCCTCTATGTGACTGCTTTTTCCATTTTTTCTCATGTTCCTGCACTAAGTATTACACTTAAAATTTTACCCAAATAAAGTCACCTGATATCAGGGTAACTTGGAGGACCTCAACTTGCTCCCACTGCCACAGGACACTAAAATATTTGTTTGGCTGTTGTTGAAAAAGAGAAGTTAGGGAAAGAAGGATAACCGTGGAGTTAGCCCTGGGAAGACACTGCCAAGGAAGGCTCTGCTTGGAACAGCTCTCTGCCTGGCTCTTCTCTGTGATCAGCTGGAATACGTTTTTTCCATTGCCCTCTAGTAAGCTAAGTACAAGCCCTCAGAGAATTCTATCGGTAAATGAACCTCCTCTTTTAGAAACAAAGGGGTTCTGAGGCAGTCACATATCAGGGTGAATGAATTCGGTCTGATTACTGGAGTTGCCAGCCTTCCCCGAGGGCTCTCCAGAAGCAATCAGGAGGAGGCTGATGTAAACCAAAAGAAAGGCCTTCCCTGCTGGTGGTGTGAGCCTTCACCCTCGGGCTGAGGTCAGGCTCTCTTCCTGATTCCATTCTGGTCTCCTCAAATCAAGGAAGTGACCCGACCCGGATGAATCCCAGAAGAACCCTAGATATTTACTTTAGGGACTCCTTCTTCCTCAGCGGCAGCGCTTCCTTCTGTGTTTTTTCCTGAACACCAAACAATCATGTGTGGGAACAGAAGTTCAATGACCGCAGGCGCACTGCTTCCCCCACAGCGAACCAGCACATATCAAAACAGCTGCCCCCCAAAACCTGGGAGTTGGGATGAGTGCAAGAGATGTGTTCACATGTCACTTACTCCTCTCTGCTCAGGACAAAGAGCCAGAGCAAAATCAGAGCTAGAAGGAAGAAGGGACCTTGAATTAATTCTGGACTTTCTCTTCTCACCAAAACAAAAGTCCAACAATTTGTTCAAAAAAACCACATGCAGTGTGAAGTAAAACTCTTCCTCATTCATTCAAGGTGGACACTTCTGGACTCTTCTCTTTGCACCAACATTTAATTTCCAATTACATAAAGTGACTTCATCTCTATCAAGCCCAGAAGTAATTAAGAATATGTCTACTTCTCTTTGACTATTTAAATAATTGCTTTTTCAAAAGTAAAATAAAATCCTAGTAGTACAAGCTCAACTTTTTATGATCCTATTTTTCTACAAAAGAAGCATCGAAATGTATACAAACATAGGCAAGAGATTCCTAAAAAACAGATTTAAAACCAGAGCAATTCTTTGCTCCTATCCGGAGATGCGGTTCCCAACAAATCCAGGCCACAGCACGGCATATTCCTGAAATAGTGCCCTGGTGTCAATATATCAGACCATAAAAAATGTAAACAGAAACAGATCCTCAAAAGTCAAGATCAAGCTGACACAGCTTAGTGTGTATAAGTCATCACTTTTATTATAAATCGGAATATAATATTTATGTTCCAAAAACCTTGAGGCAAATACATAAGTGAAAAAATATATGTACGTACATATGTGGCACGTATGTATATATAATACATACATGCATATATTTATATATAGTACATAACGTATAAACGCATACATGTATGTATAAAATATATGTGTGCATACATAAAATTAAATATAATACACACATATATACATTTTATTTATTTGAGTAAGGATTTTACTTTCTAAAGGTACTCTGTTACTAAGCTTTTAGATCTTAAATTTGGGACTGATTTGTCTTTGAATGTTCACACAATAGGAAAAGAACACTTTGGGGCCTCTCAAAGCTAAAAGTCTTATCCAGGGGGAAAGGAGAGGGGAGTCCTACCCATTGTAAACAAGGAACACAAAGACAGAGCGGTGAGCCTGCCCATCAGAGGGCAGACCGCATGCACCCAGTCCTTAGTGGATGGCTGCCTTCTATAGATTATATACAGCATCGCTTGCGTGGCTTCTGAAAGACATGGACTGGAAAACCCTGTCCAGTTACCCCACCTGCAGCCCCGACTCAGGAATGCCCATGGGAGCTCTGCCTTTTCCCTCAGCCACCCGCCAGCCAGGGCCCTGGACGCACGCGTGGCGCACTCACTGCCACAACTCCTCTGTGTCCCTCTCTGGGCTTTGACTCTGCTCTCGTGTCCCCATATGCCTGGTTCCTGCCTCCCACCAAACCCAAGACTTGCCTCTTTCATGAAGGTAACCTAACCAATTTCTCCCCCAACTTCAGCCATGGCTTCCAAATCCCTTCTCCTGTGAACTTAAGACAAAACCTCAATCCAGATATGGGTGTTGGTCCTTAAGTTCACTTATGAGTTCATCAACTGGTTCTTTGGAACTTAAGATACATTTTCCCAAAAAACAGTATTATAACTTAGAGTCAGAATCCCCATTTGAACTACAATATTACTAAACTAAGCTGTAATATATTTAAATAAAAAGCAGAAGGGGAAGGGAAAAAAACCCTACTGTATAACTTTCTCAAAATGACATCAGAGTCACTGTATTTATGCTAACCAGGGAAGCTATCAACCCCCTTATGTAATTTCTTTTCACCAGTTGAGATGGTCCACACCCACTGGGAGAACAGAACAGAGAAACATGATTGTGTTCTTTCTGCACATGAGCAGGGACCACAGCAAAATGGCAGGGTAGGGGGTTAGAGTGGGGATGGTTGGTGGTCTGCACATGGTCTAGGGAGTGGTAGAGGATACAGGCCCTGACTTCCTTTTTCTTACTTCTGGATCCTGAAATGCCTGTGGTCTCTCTTGTGCCGTATTTTTGGGACCAAGACTATGTGACAACCTGTCCAAAAACACGGGGTCATGGTAGCAGGAAGACATTTCTGGGGCCGATAGGGAGGGAGCGAGAGGTAAACATAGTGGCTTGAGGATCACCATTCTCTCACAAGGCATCCACCCGAGGACAGCCTCCCTCTAGCCCATTCCAAGCTGCCTGTTTCTATGGGTAGACAACCTGGACCACAAGGCAGGCTTGTATTTAGTTCTAACAGCTCTTGTTTTCTACTCCAGAAGCTGAGGAAACCTAAAAGCATTAAAAGCTCAGGTTGAAGTGTTTAAAACAATTGAACAATTGACATACTTTTTTCTCATGAAGCTGAAAGAGCAGAGGATACCAGCAAGCAGAGAGGTGTATGTTAACAAAAGCCCTCTTTTTTTTTCACTTCCCAACTATTACTCATCACTAGGAGCTTGTCTCTAGGGGATCTTCTGGGGAGCTTGGCAGTTCTATGGAGGCTTATTTTAGTTCCCCGTCTCCTTCAGTACCTTTGGCAATATTGCAGATAACCAGTAATTTATTAAAACTGGGAAAACTGAAAACTGATTGCCTTTATTTTCTCCTCCCAAAGAACCTGAGAGTAGAAACATTCCTTTGCTCCAGACCTTCAGAGATGTGCCATTTCAACTCACTTGTCTGCATAACCAGTGAGCGTCTTTACTGTTGGGCTGATCTTCCACAAAGACACCGTAAATGCTGCTTGAAGCACTCACACACATTCTTTGCAGCTGACGAACCCTTGGTATCATAAGCCCACTGTCCCTTCCAAACTGTGAGCTGATAAATTATGCCTTTGGGGTTACCTTCTACTCAGAACAAAAGACAAAGTACTTACTCTTTTGAGAGCACACCGTTGGCCAGGATTCCTTCATATCGACTTAGCCCTTTGCGCTGAAGCACGTTGATCTGACCGCCCAACTCGTCTGCAATGATTCCTGCATGGATGGCGGCTTTGCACAGTAATGAGGTCTGAAATACAGCAACGTCATCACTCACGGCTACTCAAGAACACATTTAAAATATGGTGGGAGGTTTCCATCTTCTTATAACATGTGGTCAGGATCCTTATTTGACCCACGACATTGCTACATTATAATTCATTTAAATAAAAAGTAAAAGAGGAGGGGAAAAATTATTGTATGGCCATCTCAAAATGACTTCGGAGTTCCCACATTTACACCAACTTGGGCACCCATCCACTAGAGAGGGAAGTAGGTAATTTACAGTCGTGGTGGCCCCCCCAGGAAATAACGCCTCCCAACCGTCACGCCCCCGTGTAGGTACTCCAATTGATGGCATGGACCTCGTAACTTGCTTGGTTCTGCTGCAGATGACACAGCCCAACTAACTGCCACACATGTCATCGTGGCCACCTTTGACCCTCTGGCCCCACCTGATGTGCCACATGACCGCAGGAGCTCTTGTAGACAAGGGGAGATTAAGAACTGACGAGTCCAACCTGCTGACCCACACACTCATCAGCAAATAACACGGCTGAGGAAGGAATAGCAGAGGGAGAGGGAGAAGCAGCTCCCAGTTGAGCAGGGAGCCCCATGCTGGGCTCCATCCCAGGACCCTAGGATCATGACCTGAGCCGAGGGCAGGCATCCAACCAACTGAGCCATCTAGGCACCCCCATGGCTGCAATTTTAAGCCATGAAATTTTGGGGTGGCTGGTTAAGCAGGAACAGATAACTCCTCAGTTTCTTACATCTGCTTTCCCAGATACACCAAGGATTATTTGAGAATGTGAACCTTCCATACCACAGTTTCCTTTTATAATTAATTCAGAGATTGAACAAGGCACCAAAAAACAAAACAGTGATGTCAACCACAGAATATTAAATGGAACAAAAAACTTCACAAAGGTCTTAGAGCTATGAGAATGAGCAACCCAGAGCCCACAGCCTCCATCTCATTTCCCGAGTCTCTTCTGGAAGCGTCAAACAGCTGGCATTTGCTCAGTCCTCCAACACTGCTGCCTGGAGTGACCAAGCAAGCGGGAGCACCTGACCGGCTGGTTAGCAGGTGACCCTGGGACTGGAACTGGCCCACTGGCAGTGGGGCTGGGGTAGGACTGGAACTAGTTCATGAGGTGCCCAGGCCCCGAGGTCCCTGTGGGCACAGACCTGTGCGGGGAGGTGATTAGGCAGTCAGCCCAGGACTGAGGAGCTGAGGAACAGCATTTTCTTTTTTTTTTTTTTTTTTTTTAAAGATTTTATTTATTTATTTATTTGTCAGAGAGAGAGAGAGGGAGAGAGCGAGCACAGGCAGACAGAATGGCAGGCAGAGGCAGAGGGAGAAGCAGGTTCCCTGACGAGCAAGGAGCCCGATGTGGGACTCGATCCCAGGACGCTGGGATCATGACCTGAGCCGAAGGCAGCTGCTCAACCAACTGAGCCACCCAGGCGTCCCAGCATTTTCTAAATAAATTGTAGCAATGCCTCACTTCTCCATGATGGCTAATGCCAAACTGACAAAAGCAGCTCATGAAATTGTGTCTCAGTAAGTGGACTTGGGAGTTTCTCTTTGTGTTAATGATAACACTGTTGCCTTAATTTGCCATAGAACAATTCTCTTGGATTAAGGTTATAATATCTGGGGCACCAAGGAGACCAACCATATTTTGTAATAACATGGTTGCAATGAAATTGAAAATTTCTGTGTTCTTTAATTGAGAGAGCATATATTTCCCAAACTAGATTAAATCTGGAAAATGAGTCAGGTTTGCAATAATGACTATCACAGCCAAAAGAGGGGAAGAGTTCCAGACAGAAAAGAAATATGAAAATGCTAAAAGAAAGATGCAGATACTACCCTCCTTGATTTTGGAGAAAAAAAGAATTAGAAGATGCAAAAAAGATAATGATCTTTAAACTAAGTAGGCAGCTTGTGGGTGTTTTTTGTTTTTTTCTGGAATGTTCTTTTCTTAAACAGGTTTGTTATCATTGTTTTAGATTCCTGGGATACAAAATGCAGCTGCCAATTGTAATGGAAAAGCTCTGAATTTAAATTTGGTAATTTAGCTCATCATCCTGGCTTTGCCTCTAACTCTACCAAGTGTGACTAAGTCATGTCACTACTCTGGACCTGGCTTCCCAATTCCTCTGTATAATAAAAAGGCTGGACTGCATGATGTCTGGTATCTTTTCTAGTGGGTGTCATCTTGTGATTCTAATGGGCCCCCTATGTACCTACTATAGGGTCCACACACACCTGCCCAGCTCTCTCAGCCCCAAAATGAAAAACAAATTGGTCCAGTGGTCTACTGGGCAGATAATCCCACTGTCCCTGGGATCATCCATCTTCCTTGGAATTTGTTCTGGGGATGGGATGGTCTTTATCCCAGGAGCCCTGCCTAGTGGGTAGCTTTCACTGGACTTGGCATGTCCAAGGCCTCCTTGGTTACAAAAGGCCAGGTTCACAGGTCAACAAGCAATAGGACCTAATACAAGCATCACGGGCCAACATACATTCCCATTCTCCACAGTGACCACTATTGAGGGACCCCAATGGTATGTATATAACCTTTTCATGGAATTTATTCAATTGCAGCTCATGTTTTCTGTAATATCAAACGTGGGCCATAGGATACAACTTCAAGAGACTAACCACCAGATCTGGCTTTTACAGTATTATGATAAAATTATTAGCCCTTCCCAGGATTGTTTCCTTAAAAAAAAAAAAAAATCCCTCTCTTAGCCAACCAACTTAAATAAAACTGATGTTCACTTAAATTGGAGATTTTTGTTATTAATCTTAAAAATTTACTCTCACTGAACTTGACCCTTAAAAATTCCCTTTTGAAGAGCAGCAGAATTTATACTTTGATTTTCTAGCTATTTTCGAGGTCCAAGCCTTGCTGATATGTAAATATAGGAAAGCCATCTCACTGGTCTGTTTTATTTTTTTTATTTTTTTAAGATTTTGTTTATTTGACAGACAGAAATCACAAGTAGGCAGAGAGGCAGACAGAGAGGCAGACAGAGAGGAAGGGAAGCAGGCTCCCTGCTGAGCAGAGAGCCCAATATGGGGCTCGATCCCAGGACCCTGGAATCATGACCCGAGGTGAAGGCAGAGGCTTTAACCCACTGAGCCACCCAGGCGCCCCTCACTGGTCTGTTTTAATTAGTGAACTGCACTCAAATGAAATGATTTAAATGTAATTCTGTAGGAAAGGAAACGCAACAGACACTGAGAAGAACACCTGCCTGGCTCATGAAATTTCAGGTTGATGGTATGAACGACTTCTGAAGTTCACTAAGCCATAAAAGATGGCCAAATAATCAGCATGAAATAAGACTGCATCAACTTTCAAAAAAGTTATCAAATCATCCCAAAACTGGAGCATTTTCTTATCTTCCTTTAGGAAAAGTCAACTTATACTAAAAAGTATTAATACAGTATTAAAATAAAGTTTAATGTAAGACTAAATAATTTAGCTTGCATTTAATAAAACATGAATAAAGCACATATCTTAAAATGATGGTAAAATGTTAAATTATAGGACACCTAGATGGCTCTGTCGTTTAAGCATCTGCCTTCGGCTCAGGTCATGATTCTAGGGTCCTGAGATGGAGTTCTGCATTGGGCTCCTTGCTCAGCGGGGAGTCTGCTTCTCCCTCTGCCTGCTCTCCCCCTGCTTGTACTTTCTCTCTTTTTCTCTCTGACAGATAAATAAATAAAATCTTTTAAAAAAAAGTTAAATTATAAAAATGTAATTCCACATTCTATCATATGAATTGTTCCTATGTTGCTACAGTCTTTGTAATTACCATATTGGCAACATTTTCTTTACAAAACATGCATTTACTGTAGAAATGTTGGAAAATATTTTTAAAAAGTCACTCATACTGCCATCACCTGGAGACAGTCATGCACGATTATAATGTATTTCCCTCTGGCTTTCTGTGGGTGTACAACAGGCCTGGCTTCTCCTCTTCTCCTCCTAAGCCAGGAGCACACTGTGCACTGTCTTCCTTTATTTTAAAGTACTTCTTGAATATTTGGGGTGAATGGAGAATTTACTAAAACAACTTATTAAGGGATGTCTTCCACTTAAAACCAGACGGTACAGTCAGCAGGCTTGGGAGAAGGTGCCAAGAGAGAAACTGTCCTGGGGGCTTGTTATTTCTGGTCTCCAGGTGAGGCAGGTCTCAAAGAGAAGCCCATCCTACGTAATTGGCATGGGAAGCACATACTAATATAGAAGTCAGGGAGGCAGAGTCACATAACCTCAAGAATTCAAAAAGACCGTTAAAGTTCTCTACTGATATTCCTGACAGTTACTTTCTCCGCCCCACAGCACCTTCCCAGACATATACGGGCCATATTGGACAAATGGTTGTAACACTCACACTTGACACTTGAAGGGACTAGAGCTCACCATTTCTTAAGACATCTCATCCCACCTTACACTGCTCAGTTCTTCCTCGTATGCAACTGAATCTGGCGTCTCTATAACTCTCATCCTCTGATCCTAGTCCTACCTTTTATAACAACATAGAATGAACCAATCCCCTTTCTGTCATTGTTCTTTAAGACAATGTATTTCTTTCCTGAGATGGAGCACCTGTTTTGTTAACAGCTTCTCTAGTAACTTGTTTTACAGATTCTGTCATCCTGACCTACAGAATATGCTTTGGTTTTGCAAAGATGATTCCAGGAAGGACATGCCACCACTGAACACATTTCCGAAGATGAAGGCACCATGGAGGACAGACTCTAAGATACCCTCCAGGATGCCCGCCTCCTGGCATTCTCCCACCGTGAAATCCCTTTCCGTGTCGGTGGGACCCGCTGCCTTCTTCTACTAATTGCACATAGCAAAGGTGATGGGATGCCACTCCCAGGATCACATTACATAAGGCTATAACCTGTCTTACTAGAAGGCTCCCTTGTTAGGAGAGTCTGCCTGGGTGGCTTTGAAGAAGCAAGAAGGGACGTCAGGAAGGCCCAAATGGCAAGGAGCGGAGGACAGCCTCCAGCCAAAATCCAGGAAGAAACCGGGGTCTTCCGTTCGACAATCCATTAGTAACTGAGTGCTGCCCACACCACGTGAGCTGAGAGGCAAAGCGGAGCCTCAGATGAAATGCAGCCCCAGCTGACATCTTGGATGCACCCTTGTGAGATCCTGAAGCAGAGAACACAACTAAGCTGTACCCAAACTCCTGACCCACAGAACACAAGAGATAACACATGGGTTGTTTTAATTGAAGTCTGGAGTCATACTGTCATGTAGCAACAGGTAACTCATACAGCCACGATATCAACATATATGAAAAGGCACCAATAAGCCTTCTTGGAAAAGACGAGTTTTCAAAATACAAATTTTCCCTCCAGGTAAAGTCATTCTGAAAGCAAATGATATGAAAAACCAACTCGAGTCGAATAGGAAACCTGTTTGCTAGCACTTACGGATCACGTACTCAGGTCTACCATGCAGGAGGTCGTTTATTTACCTGCTGTACTAAAACACAGAGCTCTGTCAAGAGCAAGCGAGATAAACAACTAAAGCAAGAATATTGCACATAATTTTGAAGTTTCTTGTGTGGATGCAAAAATAACAAAGAGACTTTCTGTTGCTGAGGAGAAAACTATACTTCAACTGTTTATTTCCCTTAATTTTCTGAAGTCATTTTGAAATAGCCTGTGCCAAGTATATCTCAAATTGAGGTATGAGAAATCATTTTAAGATTCAAACAATTTATAGGCCAAATGCATATCCTATGTCAATCTTGCAAATAAAGACAATACATGAAAAAGAAAACAAAGAGCAAAATAGCAAAGTACGCTACTTCCAGAATCAGGATCTATTAAAAGCAAAAATTAAAGCCAGGTCTGTTTCCTGCCTACTGGAGATGAAATTATCCATCTTCTGGAATATGTATGTTTTCTTCGATGCATGAAGACACATGTCAATAACTCTTAGAAAAGTTCCATCACTACACAGATTTTCACATTTCTAATAACTCAAGCTAATTCTCTTGTGCTAGAAACTCAACTAGTTTAAGTAGCAATGTTAATATTCAAAAATCGGATACCAAATTTCCAGGATTAAGATCCGTAAATAGTAAGAAATGAAGGACTGTGTATCTGGAGACAGGATATATACTTTAGCCAAATGACTTCTTAAGAATGTATTTTTCTCTGGGAACAACATATACAACTGGAGAGTCTTGTTCTGCAGAAGAAACTGTGGGTGTAAGGAAGGAAGGACTAGTACAGAAGTGCAGGGCTGCTGGCTTTCCTGGTCCCAGATGCGATGTTGTTACTCTGTGATGTGAACGGTCATGTCCTTGGCTATTACAAGGACCAAAGGAAGCATTAAAATAAAGAAATAAATTACAAAAAAAATACCAAAAAAAAAAAAAAATACCAGATGACCTCTTATTAAAAAAATAGATGGAATTATACTCATAGGTTTTGAAAAGGGTTTTATTTACCATTTCACTTACACCATACTTAAGTGTAAATGCTAAAAATAGGAATGCATGCATTAATAAACCTTGGTTTTTATACTTATTTCATTTATTCTCAGAAAAAAGAGAATTGTGCATTTACCTACAGAGTTTTAGATCTTATTTGACGTGACTTTATGATGAATTTAGGCAGAGCAATAAACACTTTTTTAAATTTCCTTCCTGCCCTATAATTACCCTCAATTACTTACATCTCTGTATCCATCCACCAGATTCCCAGAAATATCTCCTGCAATGTCTCGACAACCAGCTGGGCAGAATTTGCTGGAAAAAGGAAATAAAGAATTGATATTTTATTAAATTACACTTAAACTAAAAAGTATAAATTATACTTAAATGTATTTTCTCTCCTCCATAGAACATGCAGGAGGGAATATGTTGGGTTTTTAAAATTTTTTTTAAAGATTCATTCATTTAAGAGAGAGAGAATCCTCAAGCAGACTCCCCACTGGGTGCAGAGCCTGACATGGGCTTGATTCCGGGACCCAGAGATCATGACCTGAGCCAAAATCAAGAGTCAACCCCTTAACCAACTGAGCCACCCAGACACCCCAGGCATATTCTGTTTTAATAAAAAATCAGAAACTGACTTATGAAAACACAGATTAATCTAAAATGTAAACCTGAAGGCAAGTTTTACACAATAATTATTTGTTTTATATAAGGATTCATTATTAATTCTATTAAACAACGAGCTTCCCTAATGCATCTTAATTGATTCAAAGGTGTCTAAGATATATTTTTTATTTTTATTTATTTACTTTTTAAAAGTTCATTTATTTATTTATTTATTTTTTTTTTAAGTAATCTCCACACCCAACATGGGGCTTGAACTCATGACCTGGAGATCCAGAGTTGCATGCCCTTTGGACTGAGCAGCCAAGCACCCCTCCAAGATAAAATTTTTAAAAACAAATTTCTAAACACTATACATAGCATGATCTTGTTTTTATAAAAAGATATGCTTAAAATATGTAAAATAACAACTTGTGTTTTTCATGAATATAAAGAAGACAAGGAAGATTATCTCTGGATTCTCTCCAAGAACAGTATTTTGAGAAACTTTCACTTTCTGTGCCCTTTGACTCTGTAATATCTTGATTCAGTCCACTAGCACTCACTCTCCAATAAAAACTTAATGGAAACCACATACGTAAATTTAAATATTCTAGTAGCCACATTAAACAGGCAAAGAAGAAAGGCAGAACTAATAAAATATCCTAGCTAACCCAATATATTCAAATTTTACCATTTCTACATGTAATGAACAAAAGTTTTTCAACAAGATATTCCCAGCCTTTTCATTTTGTATCAAGTCTTCAAAATCTGTAGTTTATTTTATACCCATAACATATCTGAATTTGGACTAGTCACAGTTTATAAGTCTTTTATAGCCACACATGGCTAGTGATGGTCTACATTAGTTATAAATTATTTGTGTAATCAGAATAGAAGGTATACATATATTTTTCAGGTTTACTGTGATATAATTGCAAACTGTAAGATATTTTAAATGTATATCATGATGATTTGGTATATGTTACCCAACTAGTAAATTAATATATCCATCACCTCATATATATTAATATATAAATGTATATATTTAAATATACACACACACATATAACATATATTTTTGGCAAGAACATTTAAGTTCTACTCTCAGCAAATTTCAGGTATAGAAATCAGTGTTATCTGCTACAGTCATGGTACACATTAGATTTTCAGACCTTATTCACTTGATGGCTGCATATATTAATATCTCTGTATCAGATACATGACCAGTCATATCAAGGCCAATGCATAAAGACTGTATAGACTCAATTAAGTTCAGTTTTGCTGTCAAATGAATTTAGGTTTGCACTGATCAGGTATTGCCATCAAATGAGTTACAAAAATCTCTTTACTTATTTTTTTTTTAAGATTTATTTATTTACTTGAGAGAGAGAGAGAACATGAGTGGGAGGGGCAGAGGAGAGGGAGACTCTCAAGCAGACTTCACGCTGAGCACAGAACCCGGGCAGAGCTTAATTTCATGACCTGGCGATGATGACCTGAGCAAAAACCAAGAGTTGGGTGCTTAACCGACTGCACCCAGGCGCCCCAAAATCTTTTGACTTTTAAAGCTTTCTACATTTCACAATCACAGATGAGGGAATGTGGACCTGTACTAGTCACGCACCTCATCTTACCTAAACATTACAAAATGGCTGGGCTGTAGCCTATATGGTCTGGCATCATAAGCCCGCAGACCTGAGTATATTCTTTTTTGTAGGACAGGAAAGGACCACTGATGTCCAGAGGCCGTATGGCCAGTGGGACTCTGTAGGTATGGCTGGAAAGATCTCAGAGAAGGCTGGCATTTGTCCATGATGAATGAACGGCGAGTTTATAGGGCAAATGTAATTATTGGTCATTTTAATTATTGTCCAATTATTTCTATTATTGGCCACTTTCTTTTTTGTTTATCTGCTAGACTTAATATTAGTTAACACTAGACTTGATTCTGCATATAAAATAATCTCATTTACTAGCATATCCGAGATGGTCAGGACCATGGACTCTCATGCCTGACTGTCTGGGCATACTCATGAAGTGTGTAGCCCTGGGAGAGCTACCTAACTGCTTTGTGCTTGTTTCAGGGTCTGACAGAACCTACCTTGCAGGCCCACTGGAACATTCACTTGAGTTATTTATATGCAAAGTCTAGGGAGCTGTGACTGGCATGAAGAAAGCACTCTAAGGAGTTCTAGCTGTTGTTAGTGGTGTTACTGACAGTCCCCTCTAGACCAGTGATTCTCAACAGGGTGTGAATTTTGCCTGCCCTGGAAGACATCTGGCAACATCTGGAGACATTTTTGGTTATCACGACCGGCACACAGAGGGTAGAGGCCAGGGATATTGGTGACGGTGAATATCCAGCAAGGCACAGCACAGCTCTTCATAACAAAGAATCATCTAACCCAAAATAACAATGGTGGCATGACTGAGAAATTCTGCTCCAGACTGCTCTTACTTTATAGACAAGGAAAGGTACATCAAAGAGATTCAGTAATTTTTCCAGTTAAAGTAAAGCTGGAATCAAAAATTTCATCTCCTATTCTCAGTAAGTTTTGCTTTGGGAGAAAGACAAAATGAACTCCTTCTGAACATTAAGGAATTACCAAAAGTAACTTCCAAATGCTGGCCAGGTAAAAAAAAAAAGCACATTCTAGACTCCACTATGGCTCATTGGTACTCATAGTAGAACTCAGGGGTCAGCAAATTGTAGCTTATGGCCAAATCCACACTGCTGTTTGTTTTTATAAATAAAGTTTTATTGGAACACTGCCATACACGTTTGTTTACATACTGTCCATGATTGCTTTCATATCACAGCAGCAACAGAAACTATGAATAGATACAAAAGAGACTACATTGCCTGCAAAATTGAAAATATTTACTATCTGGCCCTGGACAAAAAGTTTGCTGATCTCTGCTGTACAGGAAAGCATTTCAAGTATTCATTACTTACAAAATAAATGATTTTTAAAACATTAAATACAAATAAGGTACTTTATTTGGTTTAATGTGAAGGAAAACATAATGTCCAGCAACATATGCCTGCAGCACAGCCTGGACACTGTATTTACCTGTATTCTGTCTTCAAGTAATGGTTAGCGCGTTCCAAGCACGTTATCAAATCTGTCATAAAAAAAGATAATTGCAATAAGGAAACTGAACGGAAGGATACTCATGCTCAAAAAAAAAAAAAAAAGAATTTTAAGTAATTTTAAATAAAAGGATTTAAAAAATTTTTTTTAAAGATTTTATTTATTTGAGAGAGAGCGAGGTGTAAGAGAGCACAAGGTGGGGGGTGGCGGGGGAGAAGTGGAGGGAGAGGAAGACGCAGACTCCCTGTTGAACAGGGAACCCAATGTGGGACTTGATCCCAGCACCCTGAGATCATGACCTGAGCAAAAGGAAGAAGCTTAACTGACTGAGCCACTCAGGCTTAAAAATGGATTTTTAAAAAGCATTTATTCACTATCTAGTTATTATCTGAATTTGTCCATTTAAAAAATAAATTAAAACTGAGAATACTGTCTTCAGGATTTAACCTATTTCCTCCATTTCTCATTTCTACCACCAACCATGGTTTTTCAGCAATTGCCCAGTGAAGGGTAACAGGAATTATTTCAAACAGAAAAACCAACACTGGTTCATTACTGTCCACCACATGCCTACAAAGATCATGTGTATAATAACTTCCCTTGGCAAGAGGAAAACAACTTCAAAAGCCTGATGTAGTTCATAGAGAAGGTTTGGGAACATTTTAACTTAGCAGTTTAGCTAGAGGCATCTGAGTGACCATGGAACCACATGTTTATTGAGAATATAACCTTTCCACTCTGATCAGTCAGGACCAAGGACTTAAAAAAAGAGAATGCTCTTTGGAAAACAGAACTGAATGAACACCCAGCAATGGGCATGCTAAAATGCAATGGATTTTAATGCGTTTAGATCAACCTAGGATAGTTTCCAAAATATTCCACACTAGCCGCAAAAATTCTTTCTTTCCTTAACATATTCAGTTAGGGAGCAACATATGGTGAACGCTCAACCTGCTGGGGTCTGTTGGGATTGGCCAGATTTGATTGGCTGAGAGGGAAATGAAGGTGCACCCCCTTTCTAGAACATTTCTGCCAGCAGGGACCGAGAGCAGAAACTCTGGGTACTTCTGTGACCCTGGGCAGCCATGGAGTGTGGGTACAGAAATCACCCTGGAGCACAAGAGGTCATGCTTTCCTTCCTCATCAGTTTTTATACTCCCCTTCTCTCTTGCTCAAGTGTCAGCTCCAAGGTTAAAGCACACTGTGACAGTGACTTCACATGTGACTCACACTCCCATGCTTCCTCCATGCTGGTGCACTGGTGTATGTGACTGGATGCAGGGCATGGAGGGCAGAGATGCCACTGGTTAAAAGGCTTGTTCCCTAGGCTAAGAAATGTTGGGGAGGGCTCCAGAGAATAACCAGACCTTAAAAAAGCCCCAAAGATGCATCATCCAAGGTTTCTAGGAAAATGAGATCAACCTCTCTCACATAGGTCAGCTGATCAATCTAACATGCTTGATAAAAGTATTCCAAGTTCAGACCTAACTGCTTACAAAGACACTGCATCCTTCTCTTTCTTCACATATTCTATACTAGGTCACAATTCTGTCCCGTGATGGTGATAAAAGGAGCAAGAGGAATTCTTAGACAGACACAAGTTGACAGATCTGGTCACCTAGATCTGTACCACCAGATCTTCTGCTATACCTGGATGGTCACTGCTGGCATAGGTCAGCAAAAATCCCCGCCCCGAAATGTGGGATCCACTCTCAAAGCGAACAGTGACTTCATTCGTGTTCAACAGGAGTTCTTTGGGGACAGGCAAACTTCCACAATATGGTCCTAAAAACAAAGCACACTTTTGGCAAATTCAAAACTTAGACCAGCACAAAGAATTGGTATATGGTATTTTTTTTTCCTTAAAGGTGAATTTTAGAAGACAACACATATTTAAGATTGCAGTTGTTACCCAACTGAAATTTTGCTTATTATTAGAACTTATAATTAGTGCCTAAATGTGGACTTGATGATACTGACAAGCTAAGGGGTGGGGGTATGGCTAAATCTAGATAAGCAATAGGATGAACTAGCTAATTGTGAACGACCCAAGAGATAGGTTTCAGTTTTTGTAAAAGAAGACTAACAAAGGTCAAATACATTAGGTAGTCAAGAAAACGTTTTCACAGAGGTGATATTCTAGGGGTCTTCTGAATTTGCTAGAAGAAACTCACAAATATTTTTTTCAAGGAGGTTTTCAGAATTAAAAGACTGTTCAATGCATGGTAACAATCTTATTCTCATGCAGTTTACACATTTATTTCTCTCTTACAGTACCTTTTGGTTAACCCATATAATTTATTTTGATTTGCAAAATGAAGTTTATAAAAAACCAGAAGAAATTTCTAAAGGCTTTTGAAATATTGTAGTATAACTTATGCAATTAAGAGTACAGTACATCATTTCTAGAATAAGTTAGTTGAAAAGCAATAGGAAGCTCCATGAACTTTCAAAGGACAAAATTAGATTTGGAACTAAAAAAGAAAAAAAGACCTTCCTCAAACTACTCAAGTTTAAGTTTAGTTTGTAAACAGTCCTCTTGAAAATCATGTATGTAAGACATAGTAATTCTAAGAAAATAGGGATTAACAAGCGAAGTTTGAAGACAGGGGTTCTTCATTAACTTCTCCCCAAATAAAATAGTACGGAAGGAGTCAACAGCAACATCGGGTTAACAGTCCACAGTGACAGCAGTGTCGAGAACAGGCTAAGGAAGGAGGAGGGAAAGAAAAAGGTCTGGAAGAGGATGAGGAACCCTCCACTAAGCATCTCTCTCCTGTATATGGGACCGGACTTCTCTTTTGTCCTGTCCAGGTCTCACATTTGGAAGATGTAATTGAATAAAAGAGAAATGTTGTGTGTTTATTTTCATGCCTCAACTCTCTGTTGTTCCCTATTATTAAGTTATAGTGCAATCCAAATTAAAAATGATGACTTACCTCTTTAGAGATTACTCATCATGTACAATTGTTTACACGAAATAGTAGCAAACTGCTTAGAATAGCACCTAGCATATAAAGAAAGCTGCAGAAGTACTTAGTAATTAGTATAAGTAGTTAAATGAATGAATGAATGAATGAATACATTAAGAGAAACAAATAAATAATTTCTATTTTCCTTTTAGACTATGTTCCGTGGGGTGAGAAACTTTTCTATCCATCACTTTATCGCCGGCAGCTTATACAAGACCTGGTATGTGGTGGCCTTTCAAATATTGTTAGAATTGGAATAAAGTTAAATGTTCTTCTGTTTGTAACAGTTTTGAAAAGCCAAACCTGATTATAAAGATGCATGAAAGATTTAATCCTGGCATTATAAAAAATCATGAAGAAGTCAGGAAGAGAAATGTGGAAAAACAAGAAAGGGAAGAAAATCACTAGTGTAATAAATATATGGCTGCTTGTAAACTTTAACAGTGCTTGCAGCATGGTAGAGAAGCAATTTATATTAAATCCATTTTTTGGTAGAGTTATGTAGAATAAACATTTTTTCACAATTAAAGTGAGTCAGGTTGCTATACTTGACTTTTGCAACTTTGTTTTACATATGTTTGAAATTCCTTTGTTCTCTGCACAGATCAGTGCAAATCTAAGAATAAAAATGAAATAACAAGTAACGTGTTGCTATTGGTAAATCAGAATATTTTTCTAACCACACTTATCTTTCCCAGGAGGAAATAATAGTGTATATACTTATATACTCCTCTCCAAACCATGATAACGATACAAATCCCTCCTCCAGTTTCTGTAGCATTCCAATGAGTCCTAATAAAAACAGTGAGGGAAGCAAATCTAAACTGATGATCAGTGAGAACTTGTTTGGATTTCTCTAGTTCAAATACATTTTAAACTAAATTATATATGTAATTTTAAGGTGTACTGTATATTCATTTGATACACTGGTATACTTTAATATGATTGTCATTATAAGGATAATTAGCACCTCCATCATGTTACATAATTATTTCTTTTTGTAGTTGGAATAATTAGGTCTAGTCTCTTAGTAAGTTTGGCGATTATACAGTTGACCCTCAAACAATGTGGTGGTTAGGGATGCCAACCCCCGCGTAGCTGACCGTGTAGCTGAAAACCCATGGATAAATTTCGACTTTCCCAAACTTTTTTTTTTTAAGAAATTTATTCATTTTAGAGAGAGCACAGGCCCACTTGGGGGTGGGGGAGGGTGGGTAGGGGGTTAGGAAGGTGGGGGAGGGGCAGAGGAAGAGAGAAACTCTCAGGCAGAGTCCGGAGGATGGGGCCCAATGGCGGGTGGGGGGTGGGGGGTTTCAATCCCAGGACCCCAAAGTCATGACCTGACTGAAAATCAAGAGTTGTTCACCCCACTGACTGAGCCACCCAGGTGTCCCTCTTGATTGTCCACAAACTTAACCACTAACAGCCTACTGTTGACCAGAAGCCTTACCAGTAAGAGAAGCAGTCAATTAACACACATTTTGTATATTATATATATTATATACTGTATTCTTATAATAATGTAGAATAAGAGAATAAAGATAAAAATAAAATAAAGAGAAAAGAAAGCATTAAGAAAATCATAAGGTAGAGAAAACACACTTACAGTACTGTATTAGAAAAATTCATGTGTAAGTGACCTGCATAATTTGAACCTGCATTGTTCAACAGTCAATTTCAATACTGCGGTCTATATTCACTATACTGTGAATTAGATTGAGGCATATTTACTCCTCATTGCAAGCCTGTACCCTTAAATAACATCAATCTACCCACCCCATCGCACCACGGTCCCCTGGTAACCACGCCCTTTTACTCTGTTTTTATGAGCTTGGCTGTTTAAGATTCCACATACAACTGATACCATACAGTACTTATCTTTCTCTGTCTGACTTATCTCACTTAGCATAGTGCCCTCAAGGTCCATTCCTATTGTTGTAAATGGCAGGATGTCCTTCTTTCTCATGGCTGAATAACTGGAATTTTTGTTTTTTTTGGATTTTTATGGAACATTTGAAAGGAAAGCTTGCAACCCTGCATATATCTTCCACAAAGAGACAAGAGCGCATGTCATCATGCTAGGTTGTTACACAATACATATAACTTCCTACCCCCCCCAAAACACAAAAATATAGTAAAACTCTAATTTGGTTGTATCCTCCCACAGTCATGATAGGAATGTAAATATTCCTGGAAGAAGTTCAAAGATAAAATGTAAACACACACACTCCTTCAATCACTTTTACCCCCTCAGGCACCAATCTCTCTCCCACTCTAAGTAAGCCCTAGATGGGATGGGATATACCCTCTCTGTATCAACGCAAGATTATAAGCTACTCTGTTAGGGTCCTCACTGCTCAACCATCACAAGGGGCAGAGGCAGCATTAGGCAAGCAGGGAGGCTCAAAGTCCAAGTCCAACGCTTCCTGTTGTATCGCCTGTGGCAGAACATCCATTATTTCCTGTCTGAAGTCCTGACAGATAGACAGATTCCTTCTTACAGAATGGAAGTTAATAACTGCATTCTTCGAGTTACAAGGGAAAAGAGACGAAAATGGAAAAATGTGACTGACTGGCGGTAAGAGGGAAAAATAATGAATGGGAAGGCACTGAAGGAACTGACCAGTCTGTCCCAATCAACGTTTTCAGTTTTCAGCCAAACTCTATGGAGGATTATAGCTCTTCTTATGACAAAGCCATCCTCCGCCCACGCCTGGCCATACAATGTATTTCTCTGTTAGTATTCTCCATCGAGTCTTTTAAAAAGGGGCTAGCTTGTATTTCTACATTCCCAAAGACAACTCCAAAGGAAACCCAATATTAGCTTGGTGACTTCTAACTTGGATCATGGTTGTGGTCTCCGTCCCGGGCCCCCGTCTTTCTAGAAGGGGTCTTCAGAACAGTAGCAGGCCTGAACAGAGGACTCCCAGTTCTGGATGCGTGTGTGCTTCACACCTGGCCGTGCTGTGTGTTCTGCAGCACTTGGACTTGCTAACTTCCGTCTTCCCTCCCCTCGGTCCCAGTCAGGGAGGCCGTTTCCATCTTACTCTGCCATCCCCAGTTCCCATCAGACTGGGGCACCAGGGAAAGGCAGTTCATCAAGCAGGCAGACAAATCAGGAAAAATAAATACCTCTACCTTTTGTGCAATAAAATTGGTAGCCCTGGATTGTGGGAAGAGCCCTCAGTGATGCTGAATGGAACAGTGCTGTGGCATTTGGCACTGCACGTGAGACCAAGACCTAGCAGACAATGCACTGATTCCATGCACAAAGGAAGAAAGGGCCAGGAACCATAGGAGCTGCCTTCACTGAGCACAGTAGGCCAGTTACTCTCAACACATCCCTTGTTTGGAGCTACTGTTCCATGAGCAGCTGTGGGGGAAACCTTTCATCTTTCCATGTGTGAATAAAAGAAAACTGTCCTACAAGGAAGAATGAACTGTCTGCCCCGGCCAAGCCCAAATTCTCTTGTTCTTCTGGCAGTCTTGACAGTCCATTCCGTACTGCGATTTATGCCACGACGACATTCTCTGTGGACTGTCGCAGACGCCACATTACAAGGCAATAACAGTTTGGCTAATGACTGCTCCAAGCCATGTCAGGAGGCTGTGTGCTTTTCATCTTGAAACGGATGACACTAAGTAATTGTTTCGTCTGCGAGAAGGATGTGCTTAAAAACTGGGGTACATGCCATTAAGAAGCAAAAATAAACACAAACCCAGGGACCGCCTCCCCATCCCGATGCACACTCTCAGTGGTGAGAAACAAGACACCTGACTCTTGAGAGATCTGTCATAAATCAAATTAAACAA